GAGCATCGACTGGAGTCCACCGGAATCCATACAGACTTCCCGAAAGAATACAATATTCCTACCTGCGCGTGAAAGTAAGCGGGCCTTGCTCAGAGTATAGTTGTATATAACATATATAATTATATATATAACAGTATATACAATAATTTTATGTATATATAACAGTGCAGCTCTTGGCCGTGAATGCCACTTGCTAGTAATCCTCTTGTAAATTTCTTAGCTTTTTCGAAGAGAATTTATGAACGACTAAGAAAGTGCAAAAATATTTTTAATATGTGAACTGAACACTGGTTTGAGCTATGGAATATACTAATCATTTCTTTTTTTGGGGAAATTTAGGAATTTCTGGAAGCCCGAAGGCTAGAAGTAGAGTGGTCTTCAGATTTCAAAAAGGTTTGGATGCGTGCCGCCATTTGCGCGTAAAACGACGCTATAAGCCAATTACGCGTTTCGCTCTTAATAATTTGCAGCTGAAATCTGTTGCAAAATCATTAAAAAAAATCATGGAAACTGTTATAATCATTACGTCTTTATGTACCGCTATAAGTGAATTGTGTAGGATTTGATGTCTTTGAGACATTTAAAAAGATTTGCAGAAATCGATTTCCTTCCGGCACCTTCGACCGTTGGCGAATTACGGAAAAATGTGAATACCGCAGTGGATATTAACGAAGAAGAAAAGAGAGAGCAGGTAAATGAGGTTGTTCATCAAATGACAAAGATTGCCAGAGAAGCGATTTTGATCGTGATATTAAGAAGAATGTAGTGGTTTTTGGCGCATTTAACCCAAATATTGCCGAGAAGATGTTTTCCAGTTTTGTATCTTAAAGGATACGGATACGCGTACATACCACTAGTTCGATAATGGTGGAGAGTTTCTGAGCCTTAAAAGATGGAGCATCCGTTGTATTTATTACAATGAATAGGAAATTGATAGTTGTATTGTTTCAGAAACGGACACAGGAAATTCTGAAGAAGTTCCGGACCCAAGACTTCAATAAACTGGTTGAGGAAATGCATCAGGAGCGCGAGGAAGTGGATCTCTCACGAACGGTAAAACGATTGCTGCAACGAAACGATGACGCCAATCGCATTAACGAATACGGGTATCGCTACAAACCAAAGAATATCTTCGAGCTCAAATTGCCCGAATCCTTTGTTTTTTAGATTGTCTTCGCATAATTTGTGTCAAATGTGTCAAAGATTCGTCTTCCTTTCATACTATAATTTATCTTTTTGCTCTTCTGAACAAGTCTAAAATGTTTTTTTGATGGAATGTTCACGAACATTCCGGTAATGCAACTCCAGAACTGTGTAAGCTTGGGGGTTGAAATTCTGTGAAAATAATCTGACGTTGTCTGACATCCAACTTCCGATCTTATTCTTTTAAAACTTTGGAAAGGGGTAAGGCGTGAGGCAAATTTCGTTGCCTTATATGCGCCGCTCAGTTCAACGA